GGGCAGTGGGGCTCTGCCCACCCTTGCCGTCCCCCTGCCCACCCTTGCTGTCCCTCTGCCCACCCTTGCCGTCCCCCTGCCCTCTCACCGGCACTGGCCATGTAACTGGTGAGCTTCTCCGGTGGGATGAGGCGCGGAGGCCCGTGACTCAGCTGCTCAGCTGGGTGGTGTCCAGCTGGTGTTTGGCAAAGATAAGTCGTCCCCCCCCTGCCCCACCCCACCAGCATCCTCCCTTTATTCCGGACTTTTTGGTTGGTTTTGTCCCAGCACACAAAACAAAAACTCCTTCGGGGACTGCTGCAGCAGAGGCAAGTGTAAAAGGCAGCGCAGTGATGACAGAGGAGAGGTGTCCCAAAGTAAGTGACCGAGTGAGTCCCCAGGGCTCCTGAATGGAAAATATGGGGAGGGGGCTATGTCCATGTGCACATGCTGGGACCCACCAATAAACCATGCAAGATGCCGCAGGAGCTTGTACCATCACCTCCTACGGTGTTCTGAGTACTTTCCACCTGTACTGTCAACTCAGCGCCGGCACAGAAATGGCGCATGGTTGATCGCACCTCTGAACTCATTTCAGCCATGCTGGACGTGCTGTAAGTGTTGCAACTACGTGGTCATCATTCGACCTGTTCTGTTCTGATTCCCTGAGCCTTTGATGATGGTGCTTACTATGGTGCAGCTTGGTGCAAAAAATTTCTCAACGTGCACTTTCAATTTGGGGTATTATTTTGTATCTTGTCTCTTGTGTAGACCAGGAAAGAGCTTTAGTGGGACACAGGACCTGTATGAGGATGAAGTTCATTCAGCCTGGAATATTTTGTGCTTATTACCCACTCTCTAATTGCTTTATCCAGTTTAAAGTATCTCCTTCCAGTCCGACTCCTTACTTGAGGAGCTGCTCCCTCCCGTAAAACATCTCAGGCTTTTGACGCTTTTTTTTGTTACAAAGTTAAAAAAAATACCTGCTGGAGTCACCTGCCCACTTCTGCAAGGGTAAATGTACATTACTAATAATCAGCAGTAGTGCTGTCATTTTTGAAGGTATTTTTAAATTAATTTCTTCCAATATTAGCCTTGTTAAGAATTAGAGGTTTCTTAATATGTCTGTGAAACTGTAAAGGTGCCTGGATGTAAATGTCAAGGTGGGAAAATAAATTTTATAAGATCATCTTAGCAGAAGATATAACTAGTGTATTGAAATTAGGAAACAGAGTATAGGCAAAACATTTTTCATCTTGAATTGGTGTTTCCTTTAAGCAAGCTGGCATTCAATAATTTAAAAATGGTTATATTTTCCAAAATTTAAAAACACATAGGAAATACCCATAGCAACTTACACTTGAATGGATGCCCATTTGCTGTGAACAGAAGTCCGTGGGTTTCCATGCTGATGTAGTGCTTCTCGTAGCCAAAATACTAAACCATGCACATATTGTGGAGGTCTTCTAGCAAAAAATGTCTGAATTTTTGCCTTGGAACGCTGGAACGATAAAGCGCTTTTTATCTAAAATAGGGTCTGCTGTGCATTGCCTTGGAATATTATCAGTGTTACGCAAATTGCTACTAACGCTTAGTGTTTTATGGCAGCTTCTTTCTAAGTGACTGCACAGGGAGTGATTACATGATACAGGGCAGTGGTACTCTGGCATTTACATTTTAAAGCTATTTCTGAAACTGGAGTCTCAAAACATCCCTATCACTTGTTTCCAAGCTCTCTCTTTTATTTTTCCATGTCAGCCATCTCCTGTATTAGTTTCTCCACTGACCATTGAAGCTGTTAGGGAATTACTTGGGGCAAGTAAATGTAGCTCTGATCTTTGGGTGGAGTTTGCCACTACAGGTCTCTATGAATGGGACAAAAGTAGATCCACCAAGAAGCCATGTTCAGGCTTTGAAAAAGTGATGGGGACGGGTGTGACTGGGATCAGCAGCAGTGGTGCAGCGTCCATGCTGGCTTTGTGCCCTTATGGCGGAGGACAGAGGCTACCTGGCCCAGTGGAAAGCCTGCTGGTGTCAAGTTAGCCTACCAAAATCTGTTAATGAATTTGAGCTGGCAGAGTAAGTTCACACAGAGCCCGCACCCCGTGTCGCACTGCCACCACGCTTTTGAACTGCTAACATGGAGTGCTGCAACCAGATTTATTGTGTCGTCAGGCCACAGCAGCCATCACCTGCTCATCCCAGGTGTGTCAGCTGCCTGGGTTCCTGTCACCTGTGGGACGTGGGGGGCACCCCAGCCTTGCAGTACCCGCTCTGGTCTCGTGGCGTTAGTCACCTGAAGTCCATGGTGGCTGTTCCCAGGGCCACCTGAGGAATGCCCTCAGGGTCGTTCATCACGCGTGCGGTCAGGTGGAGCACCGACAGCGCCCACTCATCTTACCGACGGCACTTTTGGTCAGAAACTGCTCGCCGGAGCCGGCAATCCTGTCAGGCAGCCACCACCTGATTACCAGCCATTTGGTTGCGGGGGCAGCCCTCTCGCTCGCCTCAGACACCAGAACCGACAGAATTTATACCAAAAGCATAAGAGTTACTTTAGGCTGGAAATATTTTTAAGTTCTTCTGTACATGTAAAAATAAAATCAAGCTGTAAGAGGTGACTGAAGAAGCCATTAAAGCCGGTTAACCCACGGGGTGACCTACTGCAGCAGGTTTTCACTGTTCCCTGCAGGTGGAGCGGTATGTCGGTGAAATTAAAGGTGGCCTGAGACCAGCCATGAAACTCACGGTCATCGGGGTGGTACACTCCAACCCCAAGAGGTAGGTGAAGGGGCTGGTGGGGGCTTCACCCCTGCCATACGTTCTCCTATCTGTCTTCTAAATTCAAATGATTTTTTGAGAGTCTGCGCTCTTTGGGAGGAAGAAAGTCATATAGATTCATAACTTATAGCTCTATTTAATTGTCCTGTTCTCAGATTGAGATGAAAAGGGTGAGAAAGAATTCACTGGACCTTCTGACTGCCCTGCCAGTGTTTTCTACTCTTAATACCCTTACCGAATACAAACTGGAGGAGGCACACAAGGGGCATTTCTCCTCCAGAAGAGGTGCAGTTTTGAACCTGTATTTCAGTTTCCTGCTGGGAGATGGAATCAATATCACTTGAAAACCAGTGGGTTTGGCACAGGAGGTGCAGGTTCATTGCTGTGTTTAGTCTGGATGACAGCAACTGTGCTGTCATGGCGCTTCTTTGCATTTACAGCGATCAACTCAGTGAAGAGTTTTCCATAACCACTTTTAGGATACACATTGGAATTGGCTCATCTACAAATGCCTTTGATTCCAGTAACAAGAGAGGGAAAGCAACATCAGAAGTCACTACTAGCATCCTACTGGAAACTGAAGGAGAAACAGACTGGCCTGTTCTCATCCCTTTCTGCAGCTTTTAAGCCTGTGCACGGTCCCTGTAGGAGTCCTGTGTTTCAGCCTAACAAGAAATCAATAGCTTTCTTTAGTCTTTACAGGCTTCTGATGTACTTACCATGTCCTTTCACATTTCTGAAAGGCCTAGTCACTTAATTATTTTTTCAGCTTTTCAGTGACTCTGCTCTGTGATCCAGTGGATGCGCACAAAGATGTTGGGCTGTTATTTACAGTTAACTTCAGTGACAAATCCATCACCCGAAATGCACGAATTGCTGGGAAATGGGGAAGAGAAGAGAAGACTATTCCCTACTTCCCATTTACGGCAGGTGACACATTTAAGGTAATTTCTGGGGTACTATGATTAGAGTGGAGAAAAGGGGGGGAGAAAGGCTGAAGGCTACATACATGACCACAAATAGCTAACTATTGAAATTGGCAGGTTAACTAGTCTAATATGGCACAGAGAGCAACAATTCAAGCCCTGATGGGAGAGTTCCATTCCTTTCTCTAGTCTTAGTGAGAGAACTCACTATAAGGAGCTTTACTGTATCATCTCAGCAGAGAGTAGGTTATTTATTAGGGGCATTTCAGAAGAACCAGTAGACTTTGTGATTCACTATCCGTATCACATGGGGTTCTAAGTCCATGCTGGTGAAATCAGTTCTGCCACTTGGCTCTAACACCATACCCTGTCCTTTTCCATTGCAGATGGAGCTTTTATGTGAACACCAGCAAATCCGAGTCTTGCTTGATGGACGGCAGCTCTGTGACTTCACTCACCGCATTCAGCCCCTGAACTTGGTGAAAGCTTTGCAGATCACAGGGGACATCAGCCTTACCAAAGTGGCTTGAAAAAAAAGAGATCACAGTGTCACCAGAGGACAGAGGCAAATGTACTTTCTCCTGTCTGAGAAATGTTTTATCTTTTTCCCCTGGCTGATTCTGGAGAGTGGGTACTCTTATCTTTTTCAGTTGCTGATGTGTTTGAAACATACACTTTTTTTCTCATATGCACTCAGCAATTGCAGAGCTATGCCTGGTCCAAGTAAATCAGAGGACCTTTGCTGAGATACTCTCTTGGCCTCCCAAATGGCAAGATTTATGATGCTGTACAGTATCTCACACCCTCATGGTCCCCTAACCCCCACCCCCAGCATGCCAGCTGGTGGAGGTCAGTCCTCTGTGGTGGGGTGGCTGTTACCCTTGTGACAAGAACTGGGCTGTATGCAGGTGGTGGGACTGAGAAAAAGAGAAGCAGAAGATTTCCTTATAAGTGAATAAGGGAGTCTGGTGGGCCCCAGCAAGGCTCACGTTATCAGGCGGGAATTGCTTTTCCTGGAAGCTGTGCTCAGTCAGCACGAAGCCATTTGTGCTTCCCAGTACAGAGCAAAAAAAGCCTTACCACCATCCCTGTCTCTTGCAGGTAGCATTGCCGTGAATTGAAACGTTTCAACAGCTATGGATTTCACAGTCTTCTCTGGACCAGCCCTAGGAAATGGTATCTGTAGCTGAAACTGCGTTGCCCATTCCTGTATCTAATTAAAACTGCAGCTTTGCTGGCAAACATCTTTACCAGCTCTGTTAAATATTGGAATGCACTTGAGTGTTGTGCTGTTATTTCATTGCTGTAGATTTAGAAAAAAGTCCTAAATACATAGCTATTCTAATGCATATAAATGCATATATCATAGATGCTGCCTTTGGCTCTGTTATGATTGGTTGGTTATAACACAGAATGAAGGGGAATGTCTCTAGACAAAGAGACTTTTTCAGTACATAACTTGGAGAACAAAAAATCTGCAAAGAGGTGGTTCTGTGGATAGAAGGCTATCAAATTCCTCTGTGACTTCAGGGAAGACATATAGCATGCTCTCTTCAGATGGCTTTTGGAAGCTCTGCAGAATCTGGCTGTCAGATACAGGTACTCAGATAGCACGAGGAATTTTATGAAAATAGTATATCATCAGGCTGGTCAGGTGCATTCGTAACCTCACACATTCCAGTCTCCCCTCTGGTGTTGTGGAGAATGTCTCAGTTTCTATATATATCTAAATTTACGGTGTATGAAACCATTATTTTCATACACTCAAACTGCCCTCTGAGAAAAATCATATCTAAAGGACACAGGAGATTCAAATGCACTGAACTTGTTTTTTATATTTAATGATATCAAAGTCAAGTTTACTAGACAAATAATGGAAAATTTAATGGCTTAAAATAGAAAAAGCAATAGTCAGAACTGCTAGTAGAGTTCTCAGTCCCAATGGTCCTCCACATAAATGGACTTACAGTGATAATCAGGAGGAAAAGTCTTGCTTTTATGGCTGAGTGTTTTCTTCCAATATATTCAGCACTGATGGTTGTCTGGAATAACTGCCACTGATCTGATTTGATACTCAGGGTCCTGTGCTGCTATAGGCCATTACCAGTACAAGAATAATCTATATATTGGTGAGGAGGATCCTTTGGTCTTTTCAAGCCTAACAGAGAACCAAATAGTAGAGCAGATGAATGGACAGACAGACCCCTGGTTTGTTTTGCAATAGCAATTATCCTGGCAGCTGGATTGTGGCTTAGCACAAGACTCTTGTGGTATACAAAGAAAGGCAGCCTCAGACTCCAGCACCTTTCATGACTTTCAGTCAGTCAGTCTTAACTAATTAAGCTTATGAGCCCCTTTATAAAGGGGAAAGGAACAAGACATTTCTGCTTTAGGATAAAGCAGATCTGGATCTGTCAGATATAAACTGAATACTTGTACAAAAGAATAATTTTATTCCATCTTGGAATATCATATCTCATTGTTCCCTTGCAAAGTCCCGCTTTTCTGTATTCACCTGTTGTCTTTTGTCTCTTGGTTAGATGGTAAGTTCTTGGTTGGGGATTATTCTGGATCTACATGACTCCTAGGCAGCTAGGATGCTTGTCTGCCAGGAATTACTAGGTGCTATGGTGATACAAATAACAAAAATAGACTATCTAAGGGAAAAACAACACTCCCAGACAATGAGAGCAAGAAACTTGGTGACAAATGTGACTTATCATTTGGCATGGAGTCCACCTTATTCATGTCAGTGGTTTGATTGCCTCAATCCACTGTGTTCGCTCTGCCTTGGAGCTGGCCTGGATATAATAATGAATGTCATTTTTGGTGATGATTTTGAAGAGGTTGCCTTGCACATTGCCCTTCACTCCTGCAGAGAAAAAAAAAAAAAAAGACAGATCAGGAAGGTGCACAGAGAAATGCTTTGTGGCAGATGTGAAGCTTTACAGGGAAGAATTTTAATTTAGTGAATTGAGGTATTGGACCTTTCCATTTCTTTATGGATGAGACATCTAAAGCTTTTGTGTCTCTGCTTTCCCTTCTGCAAAATATAGTACAGACACCCCTCACACAGACTGTATGAACTACTGTGTACTATGCTTCCTATATAAAATAGCTGCTGTTTACATGGATGAACTCCCTACCAGTTTGTGCCAGTAGAGTAGATTCCCTCCAGCCCATCTTCGGGTTCCTCTTAGCAAGGAGCTCTATTATTCATCATGGCCTCCCACCTTGGACCGTATTTTTTTCAGACCCTGTCTTTTGTCTTTAGAAAGATGCTCCCTATTCGAGATCTGCACATTATGCTTACTGTCATAAAATAAACTGCTTTAACAGCAAAAACACTTATCTGTAAGGTTGAGGTTCTAGACAAATGCCTAAGCTAAGCATATTCACTAGCAGAACTGTTTTCTGCATTGCTATCCTTATTTCTCCCCTATATTTGTGTTCTACCAGATCAAAAAGGAAAAAGTAATAGTGTACGTAGAGAAGACGTGCAGAAAAGGGATGGCATCAGGGGATACCTCAAGACTTTGAGTTAAACAACACCCAAAAAGAAGGCATTTCTTCTTTGTCTGTTAACTCTGGAATATTAACCAGCGTCTTAGGACTGTCTCACAGGTCATCTGACTGAGAAAAGCCCATAGAAAGGGGAACACCCAAGATATGCGGAAATAACGCTAAAAAAAAAAAGTCCCCTCTGGTACGGACAACCCAGCAGTATGGGGATTTTTTATGATATGCCTCTTCCCTTGCTTGCAAGGGGAGAGGAAAGGCCAGCCCACTTGTGGATACAGGCAGCTGTACACACAAACCCACACCCAAAGACTGCATTTCTATGGCATAAATATGTACGTATGAAAGTTTAGACGCTCATGCTTACCTGCTGGGACTCCGTTGTCCTCCAGAGCTGAAACAAGACAGCCACGAAGAGAAAATCCACCTACTGGCCTGTTTTCTTCCTGCAAAGAAAGAGGAAATGAGGCTTATCTGGAAAATACCATCATTAGAATAACTTCCCAGAGCACATAAATTATTTTTACGAAGGTGGAGATGTAATGCCAGTCCTTCCAGATATAAACCAACCTTGTCACAAGAGTAGTCAATTAGGACATGTAATTAAATGCATTACTATGTTGTTTCAGTCTCAGATGTTTCTCTGAATGTAACTGGGAATGGTGGAGATCAATTAAAAGCACAAGGGTAGGCTAATAATTATATTCCAAACTTATGTATAGTCTTATCAATAAAAACCCATATTAAATATACATATATATTTCTGCAAGTTTTTAGCTTGTTGGTTTTCACTGAGACTGTATGGGAAAAATTTGACTGTATTCTCTAGTAGGCTGGGCCTCTTGTCTGATCTTCAGGTTCTGCAGTTTGAATTTGTAGCATTACAAAGGCAAATTGCAGTACAAAAAAACCCCCAAAAAACCACAAAGAAACAGGCAACAAAAAATGAACCAGCTCCATAAGCTCCTTTCACTCTGTTGTTCGTGTTTTCTTTAAAAGCCACATAAAGCATTTCTATACATGTTCTTTTAGAAACCTGTTGAGCTTTGTGATACCTTATGTGTCTGGGGCTGATGGATCCACATGCTCTTCTGGGTCACTCACATCATTGATTATTATACCCATGAAGATAAATTCTACTATTCCCTTAGCAAATTTAAAACAGAGTAGCAGAAATTCCTATAAATACTTTGGCATCAAGGAGACGCTATTCAATGTTGGAATTAAAATCCCTGTAGCAGTGTGACCCTCAAGTGGTAGAATGTCAGCCCAGAAAGATCACAGCCCAGGAAGAAGCCCTGCAGGAGCATGGTCCCAGATTGTGTGGGGACAGCAAAAGACCAATCCCAAGAAAACTGCTGCCCCTCGGCTAAGGAAAAGGAATCTCACTGGGGAAAAGGCAGGAGGGAAGATGCAGTGGTAGAAAATCCTGCACGGACAACCTCCAGGATAAGGCCAGAGAGGTCTTATTCCCCAGGAAATGGCCAGAGGAACCCAGAAGGGGATTTGGGCGAGAGAAGCATTTACAGCATAGATGTATTTTCATTATAATGTTTAGGTCTGAAAAGAGCATTTCTGGGGGTAGTAACTCCCCACTCACGTACCTTAGTGGGGTCATAGTAGTGCAAAAAAGCAGGATCAGCTCTCAAAACAAATCTCCTCACCTTCCAGTTTTTCCTCTTGTGTCCCTGAAAAACAGAATAATTAAAGTTACCGCCAGTAAATACCTCCTGTGATTGCCATTTTCCTGCAGGCTGTAGGAGAGACCTGAATAGGTACTGAAAAAAGAGGGTTTGGTGCCAAGAGAGAAGAATCTTTCCTGGCATCTTAGTAACTCCCAGGATTTTCTGCTTAACATCCTTCTTCATACGTTGTCAATCCTTTCCTCTCCCCATTCCTTGTGCTGAGAACCAGCATGAGCATGGGGAGAGGCTCCCAGGCAGCTCTTCTGTCCCGTGGTGATGGGGGGGCTGCCCTGCCAGCCCCATGGGGTTCCCTCAGCAGCTCCTGGCACCCAGCCCCCCCGGCAGCTGGTGGAAGCAGGGCTGAGGAACACCTGATGATTGTGTTTGCACAACACACAAATCAGAGGGTACAAAGCTCCAGAGTAGAAACATGGCCGTGCGGTGCACGTAGGGTTCCCTCTGCAGGTGGCTGCCTTATTGGAACAGCATGATGGATCCTCGTCTTGTTCATATTGTCTTGTTCGTACTAAGGGTGGGAAACTAAGTTTTGCAGACTAAGGGTGGGATCCCGTAAACAACTACTGCTTAGCAGCTCATTATGCCCAAAGAAAGCAGGTCTCATGACCACTTGAGCATCCATGTGTCCATGAGTGACTGCCCACAGGTTAATGTCTGCCTCTTGCAAATGTCAGTCTACTCAGCTTTGAAATCTGCCTGCGACCAGCAGAACGTCGTGGCTGGTCGCACAACCCGGATATGACGGGTTAGACTAGAGGAACAGTGGATCTGCTTGGAAGTGAATGTAGCACCTCTGGTGGGATTTGGAGTTTGAGTGGGACTTTTGCTTTTGACGCTATTTTATACCTTTCAGTATACACTCGATATGTACGGAATATCCAATTAATCCTGCCTGAGCAGCAAGTTCCGTAGCTCACTTCTTTGTAACTACTCTTCACCTCATGATCTCTGATAGTAGTACTGACAGGCAAGTTCGCTCTGCTGGACACAACCTTCCAGCCATGGCCATATAAACCACATTTATTCTCTAGGAAGCCCTAAGAGCTGTAATTTTTCTTGTTTCCCAGTGACGGTTCAAAGACTTTATTTACCTGTTTCACTAAGAATCCTTGCTTCACAATTGTGCCGCTTAATTCAGAGATGTTAAATTGTAGCTCTTCCTTGGAACTGATATTTTTCTTACTGCTCTCAGCCTGCAAATAGGGAAAAGATGGTTCCACTTTTTAAACAGACGCTCAAGTACAAAGTTCTGCATTTTATTTTCCTTGAGCTGTTTTTAGCTCATTTTTCCCTGAGTAAATTCTACTCCATACCCCAGCTGCTCAGCTCAGCAGGTCTGAGATTTACAAGCAAGAAGTTACAGCTGTAAAGCCTACACAGGCACTGTGGCCTTGAGTTTTAGCAGAACTAGAGCATGGCCTCTGTTAAATGCAGACACAGCACTGCACCCGAGGGACACACCCCTTTTAATGCCTAATTATGTAATTCGTAGATCCCTCCATATCCATGCAGCTATTTGTCTCCAGCAAAAGTGCAAGTGTTAGCACTTCTAAAAGCCTAGAGCTGCTCCTTCTGTGTCTGCTTTCATAAGCCTGCATATTTTGCCTTTGGTTGTGTGCTGTGCGTGTCCCCCTAACCACTGCCCCAAATCAAGTGAGAGGCAGGGGAGGTGCTTCTGTTGGCAACCACATCACTTACAAACATGTACAGTGCAGTGGAGTCATCAAGGAACTGCTCAGAGAGGTCACCGCAGCGCGTGGCCTCAGTGCTACGGGCTCCCACAGGCTTGATAAAGTTCTCCTCCATCAGCATGGATGCCAAGGTGACAGCCTCGAACCGTGACACAGCAAAGCTATTGGAGATGAGCCAGTCCACCAGGGCAGAACCTGCAGGGAGAAAGGCAGCTCTCATACCAAAGCAATGTGCTCTTCCAAGGCGAGACAGATGGTCTCCTGCCACACAGGCCTTCATTTGCTGAAACATTCTGTCACCATCACAAAGACTGTCAGTGAAGCACAAGGTTGACCAAAAGCATGGGGCCCTACTTGTGCTTCCATACAGCCAAGGAGTGACAGAGAAAGGTGTCGGAGAACTGGGCTGCATCGCCACTTTCCACTGGGCCACCATTGATGCCACCATGAAGGCAGACCGTAGCTCCCTTGCCACTGCAGTGTGGCATGTCAGATGTGAGGAAGCTCTTTGCCTGCAGCGGGTGTACCTGTGAAGGTCTCTTTGTAGCTGTTGCCTTGCTCTAAGTTGCGGGTCAGCTTAATTCCAGCACTGTTGTCACACATTCTCTCCACTATGTGGCTGTAAAAGAGAACACAGAAAAACATTAGGAGCATAGAAAGACAGGCAGAAACTGTTGCGTACTTCTGTCAGTGCCTGGGATGCCCTAATGATTACCAGCATAAAGATGGGAAACAGCCTAGATACTCCCCCACAAGTTTTATCCTAAGTACGATGTAGGAAGATTTGTTGTCCCAACAGCAGCACTAAACAAGATGCCTCACTAAGTATCTTTCAGTTTAAAGCGCTTCAAACTGAGCTACAGTCAGCCTCCATTTACCTTCTCAACACAAATCAAATCTATGTAATTTTTTCTATTTCTTAATCAGTTCTCTGTTTCCTTTCATTTAACGTGATGTACCCTAAAAATCCTAAATCTGGATCCTGGCTATCAGCTTTGAAAGCTCATCAACATGGCATGAACAACATCATTGCTCAGTGTTTCCCTGACATTACATCTTCCAAGATAATATGTCTACCCAGTGAGAATCTCTGCAGCTGACTAGGAAGGTCTTCAAGCCAGCAGTGAAATGCCTGTGCGGAATCCACATATGCCCCCAAAAAAGGATGGTCAGGAAAAATGTGCATTCTTGTGCCCTGGCAAAAGCAGGTGCAAACCTAGGGCAGAGCAGCTGGTTTAGGGGCTCCTGGCCACACAGGAGTGGATCTGTGCAGAGAGGACCTTCCCCATCCATCAGCTCAGGCAATTTGCAGACTACAGCAACAGCAGAAGGAGAAATCATACACACTTACTGGAGGCTGATGTTCTCAAGCAGTTTGAAAGAGTTCTTCATTCTGTGAAGCTCTTGTACCTGTACTGGGTGACCAGCATGAATAGCTCCAGTGATGTCCAAAGCCCAAGAGTCTCGCTCCTCCCTGGAGCAACATTCAAGGAAATAATCTGTATTGGTTTTTGTCTTTAGTTTGATGAGTAGCTGTGGAGAAAGGAGTCCAAAGCAATAACATCATTTAGCTATTGTCCTCCACTTGCATTTTGCTTCTTTTGGCACTGGCCCAGGTGACACAGACAAGTCTGATACGGCATCCCACCTGAGTAAGTACAGAGCAATTCTTGGCCAGAAAGATGGTGGGCACAACTCTCAGTTTTTTTTGCTTCCCCCCGACCCCCAAAATCCCTGGGTTTTGAGTTCCAAGCATGGCTTGCATGCATGGAGCTTGTGGTACTTAAAAAGAGAGCAGACCACCCAGATATGGGATTACATAGGAGCGTGCTGCTGACTGCGGAGCTTTTCACATCCAGATCTGTAGTTTCTCAACAACTACAAACTCGCACTTGGCTCCTTCTGCCATGAGAAGCACTGAAATAGCCCGCAGCTTCCAGAGTAATTTCCCTTCTGGCCCCATTCAGAGGAAGTCTGCATTGCTGCTGCCCGCGGGTGAGCAGAGAAGCGCGGGAGGCACTTTCCTGCCAGAGCCCTCTTGCTGGAAACTTTCCACAGCAGTGAAGTCCCATTGGCGAAGGAAAAGGGAGTTTGACCCAGCTGCCTGGGAGCGCCCTGTGAACACAGCCAGGGTTTAAGGCAACTACCAGAAATGTTTCCTTTTTTCCCCATCCTCCTCAGATCTTATTGAGCCGTTCGTGTCCTCCCTCCACACACTGTTGGACTGATGCATTTGCATTTGTTCTTCCCACTGTGCGTGGAGGGGTGGGTTTGGGGTTTTTTTGTTTAATGGCTACGACTCAAATTTGAGCACAAGGAACAGTGAAGACATGATGAGGGAGTTGATTGCTCACCCTGGTTACACTGCTCATGGCAGCTTGCTTTTGGCTGGGCCTAATTCTGGAAACACATACCCCAGCGATATGGTTGCAGTAACCAAAGAATTCAAGAGGAGAGGAAAAGACTAGGGAGAAGTTAGGAAGAAACATCAATGAGAAGGGATACATTTTTCCAGTCGTACCGGTCTGTTCTCATATTCCAGGCATGGACAAGTAATAGTGCAGCCATCCAAAAGGATCCTGCCCTTTGGAGAAGGCTCCTTCTTGCCTCCTTCAATTTTGTAATACAGCAGCTTATCCTGAAGCAGAACGAACCATCTCACTTTCCAGTTACGAACAATATGTCCCTAGAGGAGAAGAAATCCACATAGCTAACTTTAACACAAACATTGAGAAATGATCTTATTTTCTTTCTTTTTCTTTTTTTTTTTGGGTGGGGCTGTGAAAATACCATAAACTAATAGGAAACTGTATGAAAAGAAACACAGGAAGCCATAATGAGTCCTGTTCTCCCTGAAATACACATTTTTAGTAACAAAACAGCACAGCTCCATCACTATAAAATCATGGAGCAACAGAAAGATGCTTTGCTCTTTCTCCAGCAAGGACATTTTCTTTGCTGGCAAGAATAGTTTCCTGCAAAAGCTCACATGAATTATCTCAAAGAGCTGTCATTTAGGTGCACACCTGCCTGCTGACAGCACCAGACAGGAACAAGGCTAAATCCAAAAATGCATGAGGGCTCTTGGAGACAAACTGCTCCTTTCCCGTGATGCTGAGTGGTGTTTGATGTGTTTTGTTCTTTGTCATTTTGATGTGGCTGTAGGTGCCAAGTGGTTTTGAGAGCGCTTTACTAGGCAAATTGGCTTTTCCTTACATCCCCTCTTACTGCTAATATGTGGTTTATTTCTATCCTACCTGCTTCCAATCCCCTGGGCTAAAACATTCCCTGTGCTCTGTTCCTTGTAAAGGAAATGCGCTTTTTAAGGGCAAAAGACCGAATGAAGGCTGCTGGTGAATGCCTCCTGGGTTATACCAGAGTAAAGACAAAACCTCTTCTTTCCCCTCTGTAAGCAGCCCCCAGCTCTCTTTAGTCCAGCTGTACAGGAAAGCAAACCCAGCGAGGGCTGACACCGGCAGGCTCAATCCTGTCTGACTGTGTCAGGTCCAGCTTCGCAGTGCGAGGAGCTGACTTGCATTTCTACAGGTGATGGAGCATTACAGCCAGCAGGCAAAGCATGGGGCAGAGGAAGCTCTGACCTAGGGGAGGGTGGGCATAGCTAGAAGAAAGGAACACGCGAGGTCCGATTGTGGCAGGAATCAAAGCTCATTAATTCTCTATGAGTAAAGGAGGAAAAAGGCAATTGCCAGGAAAAGGTGGGGTAACGAGTCCCTCAAATCGAGGGCACTTTAGATTGAATGTCTTCTAGTCTACACTAAATACAATTTATCTAACTTGGGTTTCTTCTCTCCTTCCCTTTGGCTTCTCCAGTGTTTTTTTTTCACCTGTTGTAAGTCCCTTGGACATTTTTCCTTAGAGCATGTTCTTTACTATGGCTCTTTTCTTTCCTTCTTGGAAGTAGGATGCCTTACCTTTTTTTCTTTATCTTTACCTGACTTCCACACATTTACTTTATATTTGTAATACGTTACCATACATAATTTTGTCATTTATACTGTGTTTAGATCATCTCCGTGCTCCTTGCTTCTGCTCTCTTCTTAAGAAAGCTCTGTTTTCTTTACCTGATTCCAGCCCTTCCTCATTTTTTTTCTCTGGATCCCTTGTTCCCTTCTCCCTCAGTTTCCTTTAGGCGTCTTCTTTGTGGTCTCCTTCCTATTAAACTTGTGTATTTTGGTGGTGTGGTACAGACTGCTGGCAGTTGGAGCTCAGTGTGCTGCCGATAACCTATTCCTCTCGAAGATTTGGTGCCTTGACTTCCCATCTTGAATTCAGTAGTCACTTAAGAGCCACAAAATGCAACCGTATCCCAGAGAGGAGAGCATGAGCTGGGACTGCTCTGCCCTCGCTGCAGAAGGGAGGATGAGGAACAGCTCGGGCCATGCAGCCCTTCTCTGTGTAGAGCATGGCTTCACATGGCTGGCGTCTGGCCAGGAGCCCTGTGAGGAGAGCTCCTGACCAGGATCACCTTCATGCTAGCGCCACTGCCACGTACTGTAGAAAAGCATTTCCGAAGGCGTGGCAAAGCTTTGAACAAACCTTTGAATCACAGTTTTTGTATGCAATCAAGGACCGCATTAATCATTGAGATAGGGTCTTGGTACTAAAAGCAGCTTATCCCCCTTGCTAAGTTGCCCTCTTGTGTCCCAGCTATGACTGACTTGGTCCTATAGGGCGAAGAATGGGAAAGGCTGAAGTCTGTGACATCATCTTTCAGCTCTTTTCCCCACATTTTGGCTAAAATTTTCTTACAGTGCAGCTTGAGGGGTCTGGAAGAAAGGAGTTGTTTCAAATACATTTCTACGTTTGCATTGCTCCGATCCCCTTCAGAAAGGATAGTCTGTTCTCCATCCTCTCCTACGAAATGGGAAACCCTGCTCAGCTGGGTCACTAAAGAAGGCACAAACTATCTTGAGAGACTGTCCAAACATCTTCCCTCTCTCCATCTTCCCATGGCTGCTTCCACTGCTGCTGTGTAGCCATTTGCCAGGTAGTTTTTTATGTGCTTTTTGCAGAGGTGTGCCCTAGGTGCAGACATACTGGCTTTCTGGTACCTAACTGAGTAATCCCAATAGCTAATTCACTTTCCTCTGGGTAAATGCCAATACAGGGAAACTCGAGGGAGGGTAGTGAACACCCGCAGTTTGTGCAGCTCCCCCGGCAGGCATCTGCACAAACCTGGAGGAGTTCCTTTCCCAGGAATCAGCAGGAGCCCCTCAAACCCAGCGCCCAAGGGGCTGCCTTGCCATGAGCCCTGGCTCAATCCCCCTGCTCAGGGGCTGCTTCCAGGTTTGAGCCGAAGCACACGAGGGGGACCCGAAGCACTTACCCGTTTGACGAGGAAGCCCTCCTTCAGGACTCCAGTTGCTTCCTGCATCGTGGCCAGCAGGGAGGAGAACCAAGCCCCCGCCGAGAAGTGCCTGAGCCCTGGCAGCCTGTCCCTCTGCATGCGGTTTGTTTAAGAAAGCTCATTTTTCTTTGCTACCCTCCTCCTCCAACGTGACGCACTCTCCCTTCCCTGTTTTTTTTCTCCCTCTCTTCCTACCCATGAGACATTAATTAAACGGTGAGCTGGCTCTGATCCATTACCTGCCCTCAGGAAAGTAAAACAAAGCAAAATCTAAAAAGGATATCAAAGGAATTTCACAGAACTTAGTATAGCAAAAACCCACCACTGAGTGAGTCAGCCAATAAAAGCAGCCACATGATGACAAAGCTGGTATTGCATGGGAGGGAGAAGCAGAATTATAAAATCACATCCGTCAAAACTTCAGACTAATCAACTCTACTGCTTAAAATTTCTCTCCTAATAAACAGATCTCATAGGGGTTCTACAGATCAGAACAACTGAAGTGTAACATATAGAATATTATGATTACAAGGAGACTTTTACAAACCTTAAAATAATTTCTTTTGCTAGAAGTTTATTTTACCAAAGAAGCCCAAAGCACCTAAAAGCCCACTCTACTTTCAGTGACCTCTGGGCATATAAACCATGATTCTTGGCTTAATATCCTAAATCCCTACATAAACAACTATTCAGGCTTCGGGTAAACCAGTCTGCTCAATGAACACCATGCAGTGACCTCTCGTAACTCCTGAGCACCTCTGAAACAGAGTGCCTTTTCTGTATCTGACTAGGAGCTTAGATGTGTCTTGCATTCTTGAAGACTTTGGCTATGATAAATCTGTTTGATGGATTTATCAAATCTCGCCCTGATGAAATAAACCAGTATTAGTATTTCAGACAGCGCTGCTGTTCAGAAGTAATAGTCTTTGTTGTACTATTAGCATTCCCTGACTTGTACCAAAATCAAGGTGATATACGTGGGCAGAGCTAAGGGCTGTGGGAAGAAACACGGTGTAGGGCATAACAAATAAACAGCAGCACTCGTTGCTACGTAAAAAAAGAGAGTCCAGAGTTCAGTAAGACAAAGCAACTCAAGTGTCTCTCGGTCTTTGCACACCGGATCAGATTACCAGTCACACTTTCATGTACCGAGTAAAAGGAACAAACAAATCATTTCTTTATCTTTATACTATTTTTTATAACTTCTAGTGAAGAGCAGCAAGACACCGAAGAATTCAAACCTGACTGTACTGGAGGTGACCCAGAGAACAGTCCCACAGAGATCATAAGAAATACAGTGAGTGACTGGAACGCCACTTGAAGTTAGAAAAATCGACCGCTCCATTAAGAGAAAGCTTGCTGGCTGGCGCTTCAAAAGCAGCCGGCACATATGGAAGTTACCTGCGTAGCTCCTACCGCAGTCCCTTTGCCACTTTGGAAAAGGCAGGCAGCCATGAGGCAACTGGCTGCATAAATCATATCCCAGTTATGCTTGTTCTTCAGTCCACCTAAATTAAGTACACTAAGTTTAACAGAGCACCTGGAAAAGTATTTTTTGCTGTAGATATGTAGTATTTTCAAAGAAATCAAAGGAAATGTTTGTATTTTTTTTTATATTATTGTGACCTTAAAATAAAGCAGAAATTAACTGAGTGTATTACTTTTAATTTAAAAATTAATCTCCATCTCTGTGTATATATGTAAATATATACATAAATAAAAGGTGTACTCAGAAGCAGAATCTTGGGGAAAAAAACCTGATCCAGTCAGCAGAAAAAAAGAAAATACATTTCAGCTCACAGTGTTCTGTAGGTTAGAGTTAAACTTGAGAAAAAATAAGAAAACTTAAGTCTAGGTACACAAGAGACGTTCCTGCTGCATACATTTCCTGGACACGCACTCTTTGTATAACCAGCTCCAGGAATACCGCGTTCCACCCTTTGGCATTTGAGGTTCAACTTCACATTGTTCAGCTTGTTACTGCAGGCAGTTTTGTAACAAGGCAGGTGAGAGAATTTCATGCTCGCGAGGACAGGTAGAAGCTTGCAGGGGGCTCACGCTCAGACAGTGAGCTCAGAACCGCACCATAACCCGTCCTCGCCGAAGATGTGAGCAAGCGCTCTTCCTCCAGCGCGCAGACCACCCACAGCCCTGCAGACGGGTCTTGGCAAAATTGCCATTAGCAATGAAGAATTTTATTGTCAAACTGCTGGTGAATGGCAAAGCCAACATTGCTCTAGCTGGCCATTAAACAACAGGGGCTTGTATCAACTACTTTTTATAATATAGAGCCTTCACTTTCTTCAGTACCTTGGATATTTTTAATGCACGGTCCTCCCCCTGTCTCGCCCTGTAGTTAATCAAGGGTAACAAACTGCCCCTATATTGCTCCCTGAGGTTGAGTAAATAAAGATCTCTCAGACAGCCTTGCGGGAAAAGGGTCATACAGTGTAAAATGAGTCAGTGTATCAGGGCTGCCATTTTCACGCATGCACTGGGAAGGCAAGCTCTGGCATTGAAGTCTCCTGGCAGAAAAGGACGTGCTTCCATCCATATAAACTCAGGGAGCTCCGGAAAACTCCATCAGGTCTTGTGTGGGACTTGAAACTGCCTGAAAGGAGGACTATCTGTTTCCTCAGATCCATTTTATAGTGGTGCTTTCCACATGTCAGCATGTAGAAAACATGGGGTTTTTTTAACAAAAAAGGACAGTTGAGTGCTTGATATTTTTCCATTCAAGGTGACCCTAAACCACTTTCTATGCTATAGAATTTGCATTGGGATGGCCAGGAAGAGTCGGCTGCAGGCTTCGGGACCACAGGACACTACTCATGGTTAAAGGGAAAGGCAGGAGTAGCCAGCTCTGAGCGCAGACTGCGCCATTTCAGCCGGCCGACCTGACAGACGGGGCTGATACCTCCAGGCCAGTCCCTCAAGAGGCCAGGAAGAGCTCATGAAGAGAACCTGCCCATAGGACAACCCCCATCGCATGCTCTGCAACGCCCAAACGCCCATCACGTATCATCACATGAGCAGCATCACATGGGGGATTACGTATACCTGGCTTTTTCAAAGCAGCTTCTTAAGATGCTGGGACTTTGCCCTCCAGTGTAGGGCACCATTAACTATTTAGTTCCTTTAGTGCATTAGGGATGAAATAAGATGAAAACAAGCCGCATCAAAATAAAGAACCATGAAACATTTCTAGATAAAAGATGACAAATGTTCAAAAGTCTCCTGACGTAAGAACATTTTTTAAATTAACTGTAGAAAGGTTTGAGAGCAGTTAATTGTCTAGACTCTGGAACAAAAAAGTATCAGAAATTAAATACCAAAGTGCAGATTCTGCTATGAAGAACAACATGCCAGCTCCACTGCATCCAAAAAAGCCTGAGGGCCAGAATCAGGGTGAGAAGAGCAAGGAATCGACACTGTATTAAAAACCAGAAAAACCACAACAGCCCAATTTTATCTGCCAGGGTAGTAATTGAAATGCGTTTATCTCAAGCTGCTTCGTTACGGCCCTCACCATCTCAGCCACTCTTTTTTTTCCAGGCACTCAAAATTGATGCAGAATTGTGTGCATCAGCACGCTGAGCATCTAATTGGAAAAGTTCCTAGTTACTGAACAAGTTTAGCAAACTTTTGCCTAAGTTACTGACAGCAACGATGCTTACCTACTAACACACCAAAGCAGTTCTTAAGAGATGAGAGGATATCAACTGTAGCCCCCGATAATATTCTAAGGAAAGAGCCATGTGTGGCTCATTTTTCAGTGCTTTGCTTTACAGCATTATTTTGTCATGGCGATCACATGGCAACTTTTTTATTTTATAAAGACTTTGTTCTTTCATCTGAGTATCCACCTACTGTGTTTAATGGGAGCCAAATCACTATTTTAGTGAATGGGCAAAGTTGGAAGAGCTGTTCAAACAGGAACCCGACATTATCACAACTTCAAGCCATGACAAGGCTGTCATACTCAGCTTCTGAAAAGACAGCAATTTGAGAAAACAACCATAAAAAAAAAATTAGTTTCTTCATTTAGTGATAACACATTCAGGTGTTTTCCAGCATTCTGCAAAGACCAGAAGTTACTGAACTTTTCTAGCTTTGCATAGTGAAGTGCTCTGATGACCAAGCATGGATTGAAATGGGTATGCCCTTTGTGAATGCCTTCTGTGGCAACACCAGGTGGCAATTACATTGTACTGTGGAAATATTAAGAATTCCCAGTTACGGCTCAGAGCCTCATTTTTCATGCTTTCTTCCTCTAGCAGCACAAAATACTAAGAAAAAATATGTGCAATATGGGACATGTCAATGGAAAAAGATACAAATACATTTAAAAATTTAGCAATTTGGAAAGGTTACTCAACTAAAAACAACTCCTCCCCCCAGTTTCCACAGACCACCTTTTTTTTTTTTTTATACTCCAACATGGAAAGCATATCTTGTTTCTCTTTTTCAGAGAAGATAAACAGGTTGTTTCTAGAGTGAATACCTCAGTTCAGTGCAAATGAGATTTAGGGTAGGCAGAATTGAAGGTCATGCAGCAGTGAGCTCAGAAGATGGCACTGTCTTGTTCTGAAGTATGAGTACGTTCATTAAAGCTCCTGCTATATTCACCTGTAGCAGCAAAGTGCAACTATACGTAATTTTTCATTTATCAGCTATGTTTATTGGAATGGTAACAAGGTATGTTTAAAGTTTTCAAGTTATCAGTCCTTAAACGCAGATAAAAACCAAAGGAAATGCTATTTTGAACAAGTCTGCATCAACAAACTTGCAAGAAAAACATTTTGTTCCACTCATTCTTGGCTTGATTTAAAGCAAACGAAAGAGAGCCCTCTCAATGTTAAAGGGAAGTCACCCACCGATCATACCCTTCCAGGTTTTGTATTTGTATCACTCTAGGCCATGTGGCAAGAGGGAAAAAAAAAAAAAAAAAATCTTGGGAGTTACATAGCCCAGAAATTTATTGAATATTTGCTCAAATACATTCTGTATGGAACTGTTCAGCTTGCTTGGTTTTAGGGCTCCCAGGAAAGATCATTAATGGATGCACTGAGCTGTAATCACCAATTAGGAATTGTTATGTATGAAAATGTTAAGCATGGGGCTGCAACCTCCCTCTGGCCAGATCTGTGTCTTCAATTTGACTAGGCACCTTCCCTTCAAAGGATTCAATTTGTCTAAGTTGCTGCACTGAATGTTATTTAGAAGAGCCTTTCACATACTGGTCTTTCTAAAACAGTAAAACACTTAAGTATTTGAAGTTTTCAATACTGGAAATATTTAGCCCAGAGTGTTTGCAACGGGGTCTTTCATTTTTTAAATGGTCTCTCTTCTAAATATCCCAGAACATTTAGTCTTCAGTTTTGGCTTCCATTTCCTCAGCATCATCATCTCCATCCACTTCAGCATTTTCCCTCTCCAGTCTTTCCAACTGCCTTGCAAGCTCAGTCTCATCTGTGTCAGTAACCACCTTAGGCTGAAAAAAACCCGCAAAACCAGAAAACATGGTAAATTGTCATTAAGAAAGACTATACATCTCTTAGGCTCTGATTCTACATAAAGAGCATGAGATAAAATACAACCTGAAGTCACACAATAAAACCCAGGAAAATTAGAATTTTGGGCCATTTAAGAAACACAGAAGTTTAGGGGTTTCTTAGTTTCTTAATACCTTTTTGCTAAAATTTCTCCCAGTACTACTGATCTTGCTGTACTTTAAAATGTTGTAAGAAGAAATACATTTTAGGACATAATGTACTCTTACCTCCATTTGCACATTAAAGACTCCTCTCTTCTCCTCAATTTTTTCTTTAATTACAGCCATGGCTTGATTTAGAACAGACAGTCCTTCAGTTCTCTCCAGTGTTGTTGTAGTCATCACGTAACGAGGAGGGGCTATCAGATTAATCTATCACATTGTAGGGATTGATGGGAAAAAAAAAAAGAAAAAAGAAAACTCAGTAACAAAAGACAAAAAGAAAAAATCTCAAAAGCAAAGTGAGCAATGCAGTTCTGAATGTACAATTCACAGAACAGGAAACATTTTCCCCTTAGAAAAACCCTTTCTAGAAAAGTGTAAACAACTTGGATGGAAATAGCAGATAAGCAAGCACACAGCCTCTCTGATTTCCAACATCAGCATCAGTTATTTCTACATAGTATGCTTATTTACACAAATATTGCTGAGCAGAAAGAATATCCACTTTGCAGATCAGTAACACAGCCTATCACATAATTTTTCAAACAATTAAAAGACTGTGACAACCAGTATGCTGGGTTTTTTTGGTTAGGTTTTGTTTTGGGGTTTTTTTTGGGTGGTGGTGGTGGGTTTTTTTTTTGTTTGTTTGTTTGGTTGGGGTTTTTTTGTTGTTTTTTTTTTTTTAAGATGACTGGATAAGTAAACTTTTCCTTTTGTTACAAGAAGTCATTATAAGAAACCATTTTCAAACAAGGATGTACTTTCAAGTTTTTTTGAAGCCAATTGTTGAGTAATGCACTCAATATCCTAAAATCACTAGGGAGAAAAACGAGGCTGAGTACAGTAGCCATTCTACCAACACTCCAACATATGTGGACCAAACGTTCCTTTTCTTACATAACCTTGTATCTGAAAATAAAATATATTGCTCCCTACCTAAGGCTACATAAAGGAGTCGTAGATATGTAGTGTGCCAATACTAGACTTTAATAAATTGAACAGAATAAATCCAGCTTCTTGAACTTGGGAAGCCACAGCAGAGTCACAGGAACAACTGGCAGCACACAGCTGAAAGGAGGTGTGTCGCATACCCGATAGAGAACAACCAGAAAGTAAGTACACAGCTTCCCAGTCTCAGCCATGCGATTGTAACAATTGCAACTGCATGCTACTAGTACCTGAGAGCATCAGAAAACTGCTTTTCATTTCACTATTAAGACAGAAACTTACTTTAATGGGCATATTCTCTGTGGAACAGTTCAAGCCTGCTCTCAAAGCTTCTTTTACTGCATCTATGCCTTCGTAACCGTAACAGGCAACCTCAATATCTAGGACAGAGGAATACAAATAATAAAACTTTAAAGTTACCAAAATCAATAGACTCTTTAAAGCTTTTTAACTTAAGCTTTAATAAAGCTCTTTAGTAACCAATGCTTATCCACAATGAGAGCCTCAGTAGCTCCCAAAGCTGAGGAAGGTATTTCACTTTCTTGACTTTTCATGGAATTCTGTCAGCAATTACAACAGAGGCATCATTTCAGGAGCACTGGAATTATTATTTTTTTAAGGTAAGCTATATTAACACATTGTTACAGTGATAATTAGCTATAGCTTTTTGTAGATGTTTGGAAATTAAGGTATAGACTAATGCTGGTCATATCTGTAATAACCCGATTAGTCTAAAGACAAAGATTTCTTTACCTATGTAGCAATGGTGCAAGACTAAGCTACACAGAGAAGTTAGTCTCACTTTCAGGTGACTAACAACAACCTGCTAATTCTCAGCTTTCACAAACAAATTCACAGAAGGACATACCAGTCAGCCTCAGGATGAGAATACAAACCAATGGAACATTTTTATGCTTGCCTTGAAGACAAAATTAAAAACTTGGGCAAAATCACAACAAAATAGGCAAGATGAAGGAAGTTAAAGAACATTATAATCAAGTAACTTTATTCTCAAAACTAAGTGCTGTTTATGTTGACAATTTCATACTTTATGGCAATCAAATCCCACTTGCATTTTTGAAGTCAACTATATTAACTCATTGTGATCTAAAGTAATAGGTAAAGGAATTTTTTTTTATTACCTTACTTTTTGCACTCTCTCCTTGACTTCTTTGTCATGTGGATATGGCTTATCTTTTCTCCTCTCCACAGTAATCAACAAGTACTAATGCTTTTCAATATACCCTTGCAGAGCAGAGGCAATTTCTCAATCTTGTTAAAAAATGTGACTCTGCTACACTGACTGCTTGATGGCAAGCATGTTCTTAGGCTGTTCAGTTAGCTGTACAGCCAGATTCACAGTTTTAAAGTATGCCTTCTTAAGTAGTACAGTCATGTGCTTTTTCTCCCCTCACTGAGCTAGTAAGAGACAAATCAGTTCATACACTTTATGAATACATTAGAGAGATGCAAGGCTTGAGCTAATGTATCCTGCCGAATGGTTTGCAATCAACCAATCAGAAACACACTCAGAGTAAAGTCAAAGTATTTTCACATGTTCATGGACAAGTGCCCTAACTGTGCTGACAGAGATCAATGATCCTGTTGAGGAACCAAAGAATTTAACACTTTGAATAATGAAAAATAATATTGTAGATGCAGTAATAACTATAAAATATATAAATTCATTGTGTGTCAGTGCAATATGATAGACTGCATTACATATCAGAACAAGTACTTTGCGTCCCAAGGAATCTGCAGTTTGGGGAAAAAATAAAAGCCAAACCACCTTGGACTTTGAGATGGAACCCACACAGGCATTTTGCAAGCAATCCTTGTCTTAATTTTGGAAGAAGAGTTCCACTCAAATATCAGCACCACCAACACTAGTTTTAAGGAATTTTATGGTTTGCAACAAGATACACTAAGTGTCTAGATGTGAACATGTCAGTGAACATCTGGAAAGAACTCACCAGCTCGAATTTTGACTGCTTGTGGTGTCAGACGTCTGTTAATATTGTCGATCAATACACGCCTCTCTTCCTCTGTCAGATCTAGGCTATCCAGGATGGCAGGGTCTCTGAGCCAAGCAAAGCAACGTTACAGAAGTTACACTGAAGCAGAACATGACACAACATTCAGTTCTGGTACTATTTCAATATTATTATGCATAGTCATAGATATCTACTAGGCAATGAAAACACGAAATATTCTTAAGAGTCCATTGAAACACTAAGAACATAAACACATCTATTTCCAAAATATTTTCTACAGGAAGCATTTAACAACAAAGTAGAAAAGCAGTTTACTCTACCTGTTCCTGGAAGGGCAGATCTGAATTACCTTTTTTTTTTTTGTACATGATATACAGAGCGAAAAAAATATCTACCTGCTTGGTATTTACCTTCCCTCTAATGTGAAGATAAACTCATATCGCATGGAAGAGAATCCATTTTGAATCTGAGGCCTTTGACTTATTTTAGTGTTCCATTCAAAAAGAAGATTTTTGTCATTCTACATAGTAACCTATACTCATCCCATGTTATTCTGTACTCCTTTTTAACAGTGATACTTATCTGCTGGCTACATTCTTGGCTAAAGGAAGAATGAAGTTTTTTTTAGATCACAAGCTAATAGTTTAAAATCTGGAGATCACAAAGGCAAACTCCTCTACTGTTTAGCTATGAACTAAACCAGCCCAAAAACCAGGCAATATTGGAGATTGGTCTCTGCTCCTAATAAAGCATCATCTTTTATGATTTTATATCCTGAGTATAGACAGTAGATGGGCCAAATACAAGCAACTAGAACCCAGAAATATGAGAGTTTGTACATATGAAACTATGAACCCATATGGCAGAAGTGATTTATTGGACATGCAAATTTGTTTCCTTATTTACAATTTATTCTGTTAAATCTTCAAGTTACTTCCAAGAATATTTGGTAGGAATTCAACAAATAGGTGCTGGATGTTTAAGTTTTACTGATCAGAGGGATAAATACACTTCAAAAATTTTGCAACCAGTATCCTTCTATGTGAAACCCCAAAACACTGATCCTCAGTACTAAGAAAGAAGTAGCAAGTCAAATTCTTGGAGGGCATGCTAAGCCTCCGCAAAACATTTCAGCAAGCATAGAAAGGCAGCAATATCTACATTTTTCTGCTCAACCTCGATCGCTTTATGTAGTAGCACAATGGGAACAAATAGAAGTTAAAAGTTGCAGTCCATTGTCAAAAATCTTAAGGCATTACTGATGAAGACATGTTTTGAGAACAGTTTCAGAAGTTTGTGCTCCCAACCTGAACAGTAGATGAGCAACAAATGGCATGTGTGTTAAGGAATTTTTCTGAGTTTAAGAGAAGCTGAAACAGCCAATGTAATTACACTTTCTTCTTCTAGTATACAGGTGTATAACTAAGTATTCAGCAGTTACAGAATGAACTGGAATTGTTTCTGCAGCAATGTGCCCAGATTTGCCTCTTACTAGTAAACTTGCTATCACTATAAAATAATTATTATTCTATGAAACAGAGCATATTCAGTCCAAATGAGGATACAAGTTGTCTCTTCCTCAAAAACAGACATGTTAAGTGAATTAAAATGCTACCAAGTGCCCTGTGTCTTTAAATCAAAACAATTTCTAAAATTTTATTACTGCCATCTAGTGTTCAACTCAAGTTCATCACTCATACGTTTATGTGCTACAAAAGGGTAAAATTGGAAATGTTTATTAAGAAACCTATTTTTGGATTGCCAATTTCGCAATAAAATCTTTAGATGGGAGACAAACAGGTTAATTCTGAAAGCAAATTAAAATACCAGACTCCATAAAATAATTAAAAGCAATCTCAGTGCATACTGCCTTAGCATCACAATTTCCAACTCTTTCTGTTCATAATTCCATTTCTAAGTTCATGACCCCATTCCCATTCTTTATGTTTGGAAGTGCAAGCCAGCTTGTTGCATTTAAAAAAAGAAAAATTCTGCCTGTGCAGTGGAAGAGTGACAGTCAGCTGTGAGTAGAAATATCTTCAGACACAGAGCTAGACATGTTTGGTAACATCTGCTTGGGAACAGGTAAATTCTGACAGAAAAACCAAGATCAGTGCTTCTTCTTCCATTAGAAATGTCACAGGCTCATCTGTAGCAACAGAAATCTCTCGTGTTGTAATTATGTGTTTCTCTTACATTATTCACCAAGTGCCTTAGGATTTCTCCACATCAAATTCAATTACTACTTTTAAAAAACTGACATAACAGAGTAGCACATTTGAAGATGGATAACAACAAGTAAACTCTGAGCCTTCTTTCTCAAAAGCATTGGGAACTTAAAGAAAGCAAGAATACAGAAAACCTACAATAAACAGATGTCAAAGTTTACTAGCTCTACTTGACCAGTACATTCTACATACTGATTCAGGGACAAAAAAACCCCAAACCCCAAAAAGAACATTGTGATAGATCTATTCCAGGAAATACTTCTCCGCAGTTATGAAATAAACCCCTAGAAGTAGAAAATATGTCCTTACGAGACTGCATGCTTGAATGCATCATAGGCACCATATCCTGGTCTTTTGTACTTGTCATCAAATACCCAGGCAGTTCTCTGGAACAGACTCTCAAGCTGCTCATCCTTAGTGTACTCCAAGACTTCAGCAACATGACGAAGGATGCTGTAAACCTTGAACACAAAAGGGGTATTAAAAAAACCAAAGCAAAACAACCCCCCCACACACCTACCCATTACTCTCATGTAATGCCTGACTCTTACTATGAGTTTGTACAGTGTAAAATTGAGTTCCACAGATCAAAGTCCACAACCGAAATTGTTGATGCAAATAAACAATAAAAAATATCAATGATAAAGTGTTTTGATTCTAAACGCTGTGTGATGTTGCAACACAATCCTTCCCTATATTTAGCAACAAATTACATACTGAGCTCTAGGAACTTACAAAATAGCAAAACCACTTTATTAACCTAAACCTTTACCGTGTAGTTAGGCGATTCTCTCATGGAAACTGATGCAAAAAGTATTATCAAGTTGTTAAACAGTCTATTTGCATACAAAGAAAAGTTAGAATCAAAGTAGTATTTAATAGTAAGTGTTCTACTCAGAAGCATAAGACCACACAGTAGTTAGGGTGGGAGTTGATGCCTTAAACTATTTGCACACCTCTTCAATAAAATTTGTCCAGAGAGTGCCGAAACCAGCATATGCTTTTTGGATTTCTAATCATTTAAAACCCCCCCTTTACATCACAGATTTTCAAACATATTACTTGATCTACTCATCAATTAAGCAGCAGCTTATCAGAGCACTCAGGTACAGATGAGCTGATTATATATATTTGCATGGGTAAATGAGAATCAGAGTATGCTTACTAAATGAGAACAATACTTTATCTTTGTATTATCTTATGCCTGTGCATTTTAGTTGCTCAGGAAAGAAGCTGGCCACACACTGAATCTAGCAAAGCAACTTACAGTCTTTGATTTTGTGAATTTGTCTTCACATTTGATTGCCTCCTCTGGAGAAACTCTTCTTTTTGACAAGTCAATATAACCTATTGGGGAAAACCATTTTCACAGTGTCAGGCATTGTGCAAACTATGTTTAACTGCTTCAGAAGAAAAGCATAAAGAACTAAAACTCTGGCTCAGCATTTGCCCCTTGCCTACACTATATCTATCTGTTGCTACAGAAAGTAAAAAACCCTAACCTTAATAAATTTGATCAAATCATGATCCAAACTAGCATATTAAATTATTCTTTCAACTGTAAATACTTACAATAGCTCATCTTTTGTACAACATTCTTTAAAATGACTGCCTTATGTTTTCTCTACAAACCAGGAAGAAAATTTCGTATTTCAGCAGAGAGTGATCCTTTTTCTGACACTGTACACAGTTTTGGCAAAAATCACACCAGCATACAAAGAAGCAGGTTTGATGCATACTTTTGTAGTGCTCAACTTGATTTCATTCAAGGTTGGCGCCCCATCAGTTTAGCTCCGAACAGTTTCCTAATGAAGTAGGCCTGGCCTCAAATTCTGACTGTAACTCTTGGATACCCTTTTGGGAGAACAGTATGTGAAAAAAAACTCTTTTGAACCATTTATTTGTAAATTTGAAAAGGCCTCCACCTACTTCTCACAAACTATAGGTTCCCCAAAAGATTATATGAAGACTGCTATGTGAATTACAGATGTGTTTCTCTGTTAATATAAGAATGAAATTAATTTCTAAGAGGAGGTATCCTTTCATTAGAGATGCTGGAAAACTTATTTTACTTCACATCTATCTGAAATCAGTTTCTTCTTGTCTGTTTTTCCTCTCTGCTTTTTCTTATCTCATCACTCATTACTTAATCTCAGAGTTAACTGCAGTTTCAGAAATATTCTAGAGAAGCATATTACTTGAGAAACATCACACCAACAGTCAGGTTACCAGTAGATGTGCTCAGTGTTTATTTTCATTATTTCTTTATACCTAGATATAGATTTAAAGATTGCATGGAGCTGTATTATCAAAATCTGACATGTTCTAAATAGAAAGTATATTAAAAACCCCTTTAGAATAAACTATTCAAATGTTCAGAAGACAGGAAAAGACAAAGTTGCCTGTACAATCTCAACCTGTAACCTTCTACAGAATTCATACGGTACAATTACATACATGTCATATTTTATAGCCAAGGTTCAAGACTTGTTAATGCACAGGATCGTCTGTCAGCATTAGATATTCACCATTTAGATTTTTAACCACTACATCAGATGATCCTTCTCTTCAGCTAGGTCTCAGAAAATCTACATAGATATCAAACGAAAAATCCACTTAACTATGGTTTGTTGACCAAACATTGAGCTGGCAAGGACTCACTTAAGCAAATCTGCACTGATGTGATTGACCTTCATTAACCCAATTCCCAAAGGACACAGAGGAATGGAAGAATGATCATAAACATCAGATGGTATAATGATGGTGTATTTTGCTTAAAAGTCTTGAAAAAACCCAGACCTCCTGGAAAACCCAAAGAATACCTAAGTTTATCTGCATTTCTCTCTAGGAATTCAATCTTGATACTGCCCACAATATCCCCAAATACCTTTCTCTTTGTCAACTCTTATGACTACGACGCATTCATTCCTCCCAATGCGGATCAGTTTGTTTATGGAACGAATACGTCTTCTGGATAGTTCACTGAGAAGGATCATGCCTTCAATGTTGTTGTACTCTAGCAGGCTGACATAGGCTCCCATTTCAGCAATGGACCGAACATTGACCATCACTACATCTTCCACCTCTGGAAATTTATGCTGGTAGAATCTACAGCTTAGTCCCGGCATTCTGGAATTTGAGCAGAAAGAAACAAACATTTCATTTCACAGTACATCACTGACTTCTTGTACAAACATGGTACAAAACGAGCAAGAACTGGTGAGGATAGACAGGAACACTGGTACAAAAAATGCAAATTAGGATAAGGCTTGTACAAGTCATACGTAGGTTTTAATCAAAAGTAAACAATAAATTAACTAGTATTTTAGTATTACCACAACCATTTGCCAAGATGCTAATTTTTTGCATTAAAGTAGAAAAAGCTTGCTACCCAGACTTTATTTTCCACTTCTACTGCCATACTACCTATCCATAGCACATGGCAGAGACTTCAAGTGGTGAAAAGGTGGCACTGCACACCTTGCATTCATCTAAATTCACGAGGCTGTGTAAAATTTTCAATCAGATTTTAACAGGACATGGGAGAGAAGCAGCCTGCAGTGTTCACGAAGGTATTTGTATGCACATAAAAAAACAACATGTGAGAGGTTAAGAAAGTAAGAGGTAGAACGACGCTTCTGTAATACTGAGAAGGAGCAGACTCTATGCTCCAGATGATGACTTTCTAAACTCAGCACAAGACATTTAGAATAATCCTGTAAGACCTGCTTCAGAGGCCACCTGTCAGCAAAGAAAGCAAAATCAGAAGACAGAACTAGCCTGACATGAATGAAGCACTAAAAAAAAAGAAAAAAAGGCACCCCCCAACATATTGCTAGCCAAGAGGAAAGAAAAAACCTGAAAAACAACCCATTTCATTATACATTCAAAAACCCTACAAAATTAATGCTTCATAATCATGTAGTAATAAGAAGAAATGTTTAAACCTCTTCACCTTCCTGATGATGAGTCCATATACTCATCACTCACCAGGTTAGTTCAATTCCTTTTGTCAATGCCTAGAAGTTTCATACAGGTGGTTTCCTACAGAAGTAGGAGCCTAAGATGCTGAGTCAAATGCATCACTCCTTCAGGTTTGTTGTAATCACCACTTTGAAGGTTTGCTCTTGATCTTTACAGCAGTGCTAAGGCTTTCCAGCTATATGAGAATTTAAAAACAGTGTAAGATGGTAATGCCAAGCACCACATACACATGGCTACACAATTCAGAAGACTGCAGCCACCCTTATTTCCACACTCAACTTTCTGAAAGGGAACATACAAACTAGTAAAGGATTATAAAAAGGCTCCTTTAAAGGTTTCATATAACTTCATATAATTTGAAGCTGAACAAAAGACTCCAAGATGAAAAACTTCACAGTTCTGTTTTCTAGTCCACTTAATGCAGTTCAGCTCACTCCTACATGTCTACTTATGAGCTAGAAAGTAGAGATATATTGCAAAGGAACAAACCCCGACCACAGTAAACAAGAATGGACAAACACTGCTGCGCACGCAGATTATTTTACTCCTCTCCATAGACACAAGGTTTTTATTTTGGCCTTCTGTGGGCAGCCTCTCAAGAGCGACACAGTGCCCACGGCGCCAATGCTGGAAATCATCTTTCCAAGACGTTAGACACGCCTCAGCGAAGGTTTAAGTCCCCACAGCCGCACGAGTCTCTCCGGAAACTGGCGAAGGTGGAGTAACTTCTGAGCAGCGGCTCCTCCGGCCGCTGGAGCGTCGCTG